TGTTTCCACTTATTTGTATCTTGCTCAGTTTCTTTCTTTATTATCTTATAATTTTCTGAGTACAGGTCTTTTACCTCCTTAGTTAAATTTATTCCTAGATATCTTTTTTTTGTTCTTGTTGCAATTGTAAATTGGATTGTTCTCTTGATGTATAAAAATGCCATCAATTTCTGAATATTAATTTTGTATTCTAATTTACTGAATTCTCAGTTGCAGTAGTTTTTTGGTGAAGTCTTTAGGGTTCTCTGTATACAGTATTATGCTATCTGGCAATAATGACAGGTTTAGTTCTTCCTTTCTTAATTTAGTTGCCTTTTATTTCTTCTTGTCTGAGTGGTATCATCACACTGTTCTCTGTGTCTATATGTTATATTTATAACCATTTTTCTGAACACTGTATCTGATAAGTTGCTTGGCTCCATTTCATTTTGCTATTTTTATGGAGATTTCTCCTGTTCTTTCATTTGGAGCATGATTCTTTGTGTCCTCATTTTGACTGCCTTTTTGTGGGTTTTTTTGTTGTTGTTTTTCATGTATTAGGTAGATCTGCTATAGTCAGGAGGAGGCTAGCAGAGTTTATCAGGCCTAAACAGACCAAGATTTGGCTGTGTGAAGGGAGGGCTCTGCACTGTCAGATGTCAGGCAAAAAATATAGTTCTTCATTAAGATTTTAAAACTGCATACCTAAAATGATCTTCCAAAGGAGCCTCCTCTAGAACAAAGAGGCCACCTATTCTTAAGGCAATCCCACCTCTCTGTCCTAAGAGTTACAAGCTGCTATAGCTTTAAAAAAATTATTTCTTAAATCTTTATTGTTGAAAGTATTACATATTTCCCCTCCCCCTTGACCTCTTCTAGCTCACCCCTCCCCCTCAAGCCTTCACCACCCTAGCGTCTGTGTCCATGGGTTATGCATATGCATACAAGTTCTTTGGTTGATCTCTTCCCACCCACTCACTCACCCTCCCCACCTTCCCTCTGAGATTTCAGAGTCTGTTCCACGATTTTGTCTCTGGATCTATTTTCATCAGTTTATTTTGTTCATTAGAGTCCACATATGAATGAGCTCATGTGATACTTGGCTTTAATCAGCAGGCATCTTCTGTATACAATTGGTACATAAAAGCAATCGCAATATAAAAAATTAAAACTGAAATTATATATGTCATTTAAGATCATTATTATTTTTTTTTTTTTTTTTTTTTTTTAATTTTTTTAATTAAATCTTTATTGTTCAGATTATTACATTTGTTCCTCTTTTTCCCCCCCCCCATAACTCCCCTCCTCCCAGTTCCCGCCCCCACCCTCCGCCCTCACTCCCCACCCACTGTCCTCATCCATAGGTGCACGATTTTTGTCCAGTCTCTTCCCGCATCTCCCACACCCCTTTCCCCCCCAGGAATAGTCAGTCCATTCCCTTTCTATGTCCCTGATTCTATTTGTAATCAAGAGTTCATTCTGTTCATCAGATTATTTATTCACTTGATTCTTAGATTCACTTGTTGATAGATGCATATTTGTTGTTCATAATTTGTATCTTTACCTTTTTCTTCCTCTTCCTCTTCTTAAAGGATACCTTTCAGCATTTCATATAATCCTGGTTTGGTGGTGATGAACTCCTTTAGCTTTTCCTTATCTGTGAAGCTCTTTATCTGACCTTCAATTCTGAATGATAGCTTTGCTGGATAAAGTAATCTTGGTTGTAGGTTCTTGGTATTCATCACTTTGAATATTTCTTGCCACTCCCTTCTGGCCTGCAAAGTTTCTGTTGAGAAATCAGCTGACAGTCGTATGGGTATTCCCTTGTAGGTAACTGAGTTTCTTTCTCTTGCTGTTTTTAAGATTCTCTCTTTATAAGATCATTATTATTTAATTGCCCTTAATAATTTTATAGAATAAGTCATTAAGAGAACCTAAAATTATTCTCATAAGTAAAAGTGATTTATTATTTTGAAAACATTGATAAAATGTACTCTTGAAGTTAATGCATTCTATTTAATTCTTCTCATGTAGTTATCTAGACACTTGTAATACTGTAGAGTAAAGGCTTTGGTTCTTGATAGGTGATTTAGCCTTAATTGTGATGAAACACTGGATGGTTCCACTTTAACAAATTCTAGTGCAGTTAGAGCCAAGAGCTTTGACCCACCTATTGGGTGTAGTTATTTCTTTATACCCAAATTATTTGACATATGTTATTGCTTTTATAATTGAATGTTATGCTATTTAAAATTCTTTGCAAAATACTGAAATCTAAGTACATGTTTTAAAAGTTTGTTTCTAGGGGAAAAATAATTCCAGACAATTATTTTCCTATTTACAAATTGTATATGGAACTCAGCTATCCTATACTATGCGTAATTTCTTTCCTTTATGGGAACATGTGATTACACTCATATACTTTTCCTTTCTGATTTGGAATCATGTTTTGTTTGAGTTTGCTCCATCAAACTTTATCTTTTACTGGGTGATGCCTTCAAAAAGAGCAGTCATCAACAAATATATAAGAAAGCAACTGACTGCTTTACTTTGTGTTGATAAGTATCTTACTAATTTCCATAAAAAACTCTTAGTCATTTATCTACATGATCTTTTAAGTGAAGAGATGTTGAATAAAAGGTTGGGGGTTACCTGGAAAGATAATAGATAATTTAGAATCTCATTTGTTAGGTGAATTCCCTAACCAGAATAGGCTATTATCTTCAGGTATGCAGATTCAGAAAATCCTTCTCTTTTTTTATTGTTGTTAATCCTCACTCAAGTATGTTTTCCATTGATTTTTAGAGAGAGTGGAAGGGAGGGGAAGAGACTGAGAGAGAGAGAAACATGGATGTGAGAGAGACACATCCATTGGTTGCCTCGCTCACTGGCCCCGACCAGGCCTGGGGTTTGAGCCCGCAACCAAGGTACATGCCCTTGACCGGAATTGTGCCTGGGACCCTTCAGTCTGCGGTCCAACACTCTATCCACTGAGCCAAACTGGCTAGGGCCAGAAAAATCATTATTTTCATGATTCCATGTTGGTCAGATTTTGAGATTTCACTCAAGCTGACAAAGCTCAAGGAAAACTTCTCATATAAATCACAATGCCTGCTTGTTAACATATATTGAGGAATGGTGTTTCCTTTGCTGTGGTCTTAGAAGTGGTAGGTGGACTCTGCCGCCAAAATTTGGTTCACATGTCAGGAATGATGATGCTACACAGATGACCATAGGATATTGAAACATTTATTACTCAGATAATAAAGCTTTCTGGGGAGAATAGGATCATAAGCAGATGAAAGCGGCTTGAAAAAAAACAAGAAATGTAGACTAACTTGGAATTTTATTGGATTTAACAGGTGGCCTGAGGGTTCTCATAATGTGGGTCAGGCTTGTGTGCTTGAATTTCCTTCAGGTGACAAAGGAAGTAGCACCCATGTTTATATATATATATTATATATTATATATAATATATATATATATATGTATATATATTATGTGTATATATATATATATATATATTTTTTTTTTATTGATTTCAGAGAGGAAGGGAGAGGGAGATAGAAACATCAGTGATGAGAGAGAGTCATTGATTGGCTGCCCCTGCTCGCCCCCCACTGGGGATCGAGCCCTCAACCCAGACATAAGCCCTTGACCGGAATCGAACCCGTGACCCTTCAGTCTGCAGGCTGACGCTCTATCCACTGAGCCAACCCGGCTAGGGCAGCACCCATATTTTCTTATCACCTTCCCAAAATTTGGGGAGAGTGGTAAAGGGGACTGATGATGTTTAAAAGCTGTCAGCATTCAAACATTAAAAATGAAGTCAGACTCTTTACTATACCTTTTTCTTTGCTTCCATTGTCTTTTCTTGTATTCAACATATTATCTCCTTAAATTAACCCTTCCATTGGTTAAACTCAAAACTACTTGGCTTGGGACCAATTTTTTCTTTTTAAGATGTCTCCTTATTTTGTAATTGATACTTAATATTTTAAGTTTAATAGTTTAGTTCTTAAAAGGCAATCATAATTTTATGTTATTAGGAAAGTGTGTGATAAGATAGCTGGGAATAGTAAGAAATTATTTAGAATTTTCCAAACCTAATAAAGTAGTACATTCATAGCTTGCAGAATTGGCTTTCCCTTCTTCTTCCTCAGCTGCCTAGATGCATTACTGAATGTTCAATTCTTTCTATTCTTAAAGCCATAAGCTGCATAGTTGAAACAGGCTGCTTTTACCTGTTTCTATCACAGACAGCTGCTCTGTCTAGCTCCCAAACTATGTATTGTGCAATTGGGACATGAAGAGAAAAATATCAGAAAGGAAAAAAAAAACTTGAGTAAAAGACCCCAAATCCTGCATACTTATTATCCTCAAGTCCTTGGCCATCTCCTAAACTGCAGTGCACAGGCTGAGACCTTTATAAAACATTCATCTAGTAACTAATTTCTAAGTGGTACAGCTTAGAGATGGGGCAGTGTGCTGTCAGAGTGAAACCATCAAGTGGGAGGACACCAGACACCTGGGCCCCAGACATCATGCTAGTGTTGCAACCAGTTAAGTATTAAGATGAACAAATAATTTAACTACTCTGTGCTGACTTCCCCTGTAAAATGTACAGGATTTAGAGTTTATTTTAGCTTTGAAATAACATGATTTTGTAGTTTAAAGGTAAGGCATTTGCTTTTGTGTTCTCTAAGAGGAGAAATTATAAATGGTAACATAAATCTTTATAAAATTAAGTTATATGAAACCAGTATACTAATATTTTTGAGTAGGGGTCATTTTGTCTCTAAGTTCAATCACAAATGGTTTGAAAATAATATAATTTTTCTAATGGCTTTTAAGTGTCATCATAATCTTGAACATTTGATTAACTGTAATGTAATTGAATTTACATTTGAAAATTATTTTGATAATAATACTCTTAAATAAAATATTTTATATTTTCTTACAAAATATTTTAGCCTTCATGTTTGTTTATCTGCCTATCTATTTATTTATTTTCAATTTAGATGGGTCTAGGAAAGACAATCCAGGCAATTGCCATCGCTTACTTCTATAAGGAGGAATGGCCTCTTTTAATAGTGGTCCCTTCATCTCTGAGGTATCCTTGGACAGAAGAAATAGAAAAATGGATCCCAGAGCTAGATCCAGAAGAAATCAGTGTTATTCAGAATAAAACTGATGTTGGGTAAGAACAACTTTCTAGTATTTATGGGGGGGAAAGTGCTAAAATTGGTATATATCAAATAAGTCTGTATATCAAGTAGATTTATCCAGGGCTGAAAATGCATTTGTCATTATTGAAAAATAAAATGTGATTGCTGTGTTGGTACTGGGTGTTCAGGAGCCCTTCCTTTTCTATTAGGGGGTAGAGAACTGCAGAAGATTGACTCCCTTCTGTATCATCACTGGAGGTATATAGAAAGTGCAAAGTGACATGTTTTATTTTCAATGCATTTATTTGCCTATTTAATTTTACAGACTCCTTAGTATCATAGCACTGTACATACAAAAATGAATAAGACACATCCCCTGCCCTCACCTATCTTATTTATATATATAAAACCTAAGCGACTGTCCAACCGGTAGCTATGATGCATGATGACCACCAAGGGGGCAGACAGTCAACACAGGACTGGCGAGCTGAGGTGACTTGACAGCTGCAGTTCTTGGGTGACACTCCAGAACCAGAGAGGAGGGGGCCCGATTCTGGGGTGTGTCACCCGATAACCGCCCTCTCGCAATCCGGGACCCCTTGGGGGATGTCGGAGAGCCGGTTTTAGGCTGATCCCTGCAGGCCAGGCTGAGAGACCCCACCGGTGCACTGGGCCTCGAGTGATATAATAAGGGGGATAAATATGTAAATGAATAAGTTCATTATAGTATGATAAAGAATATTATAGGCATTTGAATTATAGAGGTAGTTCCAAAGGTCAGGGATCACTTTAGCCCAGTGTTTCTCTGCGTGAGGTGGTAACCCCCTCTTTTCCTTATACTTCATCGACCTAGGGCCAGGGGCATTTTCGTTGTCATTGTGACAGGGAATCTACTGGCCTTTAATGGGCGGGCCCAGGAATGTGAGATGCCCTTCAGGGTGCTGGACAGCCCTGAGTACTAAGTATTGTCCTGCTCAAAATCCCAGTAGCACCTGGCTTAAGAAACTGCTATCTTGTTTGTGGAAAGGCTTCCTGGAATAGCCGACTAATATTTGAGTATCCACTTTCTTCATGATCACAGGTGCATGAAAGCAAATGTTCTCACAAAGTTATCTTCTTATCCTAGTAAAATATAGTTTGCTGGATGTCAATGCTTCCAAAGAGCATTTAACAAAAAAAAAAAGGTTAGATTTGATTGACGAAATTTTAAATTTTGGATTAGGGTTTATTACATTTAAAGACTATAAAGTCTTAAGAGAAATTGGGTTTCAGGGGTGATACCTTCTGCTCTTACTTTTCCTTGTATTTCTTCCCAAAGAGTTGTATTGTTTATGATAAGTTGGTTACTGAAATAGTATTTTTAAAATACATGGATTTCTTTTCTAGGAGAATATCGACCAGCAAAGTGACAGTTCTGGGGTACGGTCTCTTAACGACAGATGCAGAGACTTTGATAGATGCACTGAACACTCAGAACTTCAGCGTAGTGATAGTGGATGAATCACACTACATGAAGTCCAGAAACGCAACTCGCAGCAAGGTTTTATTGCCAATAGTACAGAAAGCCAAACGAGCCATTCTTCTGACGGGAACTCCCGCTTTGGGAAGGCCTGAAGAGGTATTAAAATCCTTATGCTTGGGCTTAAAAAACAAACAAACAAACAAAAAAACAACCTAGAAAACAGAATCAGTCACCTGTGAAATGTTAAATTCCTCAAATGCCAAAAGAGCACTTTGGGAATTTCTAGACTGCTCTTACTGATGAAATATGTCTTTTACTGTGACTTTTATCTAGTTACATGTGATCTTTAGCCGTGCTTGTATTTGCTATAAAGCACACACACAGTTTTTACCTTTACTACAAATGTGTAAATAACACTTGTGTTCTTCTGGTTGTTCTGTGGCCTTAGTCTTCATTTTATCCATCTGTTTTACATTATAAGCTCCTTAGGATTGGAGTTGAATCAACTTTGTATCTTTTTTTTTTCTTTTTTTTTAATTAAATCTTTATTGTTCAGATTATTACATTTGTTCCTCTTTTTTCCCACCATAACTCCTCTCCTCCCAGTTCCCGCCCCACCATCCGCCCTCACTCCCCACCCACTGTCCTCATCCATAGGTGCACGATTTTTGTCCAGTCTCTTCCCGCATCTCCCACACCCCTTTCCCCCCCAAGAATAGTCAGTCCATTCCCTTTCTATGTCCCTGATTCTATTATGATCACCAGATTATTTGTTCACTTGATTCTTAGATTCACTTGTTGATAGATGCATGTTTGTTGTTCATAATTTGTATCTTTACCTTTTTCTTCTTCTTCCTCTTCTTAAAGGATACCTTTCAGCATTTCATATAATCCTGGTTTGGTGGTGATGAACTCCTTTAGCTTTTCCTTATCTGTGAAGCTCTTTATCTGACCTTCAGTTCTGAATGATAGCTTTGCTGGATAAAGTAATCTTGGTTGTAGGTTCTTGGTATTCATCACTTTGAATATTTCTTGCTATTCCCTTCTGGCCTGCAAAGTTTCTGTTGAGAAATCAGCTGACAGTCGTATGGGTATTCCCTTGTAGGTAACTGAGTTTCTTTCTCTTGCTGCTTTTAAGATTTTCTCTTTGTCTTTTGCTCTTGGCATTTTAATTATGATGTGTCTTGGTGTGGTCCTCTTTGGATTCCTTTTGTTTGGGGTTCTCTGTGCTTCCTGGACCTGTAAGTCTATTTCTTTCACCAGGTGGGGGAAGTTTTCTGTCATTATTTCTTCAAATAGGTTTTTAATATCTTGCTCTCTCTCATCTTCTGGCACCCCTATAATTCTGATGTTGGTACGCTTGAAGCTGTCCCAGAGGCTCCTTACACTATCTTCGTATTTTTGGATTCTTTTTTCATTTTGCTTTTCCAGTTGGGTGTTTTTTGCTTCTTCGCATTTCGAATCTTTGACTTGATTCTTGCGCTCCTCGGGTCTGCTGTTGGGTGTCTGTACAATATTCTTTATTTCAGTCAGTGTATGCTTAATTTCTAGTTGGTTCTTTATCACAACATCGAGGGTCTCATTAGATTTCTTGAGGATCTCACTACATTTATCGGCGGTCTCACCAGTCTTTTCGAGGGCCTTACTAAGTTTATCGGCAGCTTCTAGACAGTTCTTGAGAGACCTTAAAAGTGTGGTTTTGAGCTCTATATCTTCCATTTCTGACATTTGCGTCCTTTTTCTTTGTCTCCGCATTTTTTTATCTTTTCTTGGTGCACCCCCTAGTGGTCTTTGTCAACTTTGTATCTTTTATAAAGATATATCTTTATATATTTTATACAGTATTGCATAACCTCTTTCTGTTTCTTTTCACTTTAAAATCCATGTTTGGGAAGATAGAGAACTTAGGTGTAGACCAAACAGAGTATCTAATTAGAATAGAGGAATCAGGCATTTGAGTGATGTCCAATTTAGCTTTTACTACTGTGAGAGGCAGGTGGGGTATGGAGTGATTAAAGGGTTGGGAAGAAGAAATAATGAGTGAAACTATTATGAGTCTAAGAATTATTATAACCCAGGGAAGTCCTGTCTATTAAAGCATTTATCTTAAACCCACATTTCAGTTTTTAATATATACCCTACAAACCTATCCAAAAGAAATACAGATGGCTGGATGGATAGATGATAGATAAATGTAGATGTAGTATATACACCTTCACCTACATATACTAATGTATTTTATATATGCACATATACACATACAGACCTACATTGTATTAATTTTTGTAATTACATAAAAGCTAGAAACAGCCTATATATCCATTCATAGGAGACTGTTTAAACATTTTACAGTATGGCCCAGGCGGCGTGGCTCAGTGACAGGAGGTCACAGTTCGATTCCAGGTCAGGGCACTTGCCCGGGTTGTGGGTTCAATCCCAGTGAAGGGCATGCAGGAGGCAGCCGATCAATGATTCTCACTCATCATTGATGTTTCTCTCTCTCCCTCTCCCTTCCTCTCTGAAATCAATAAAAAAATTTTTTTTAAATAAACATTTTACAGTACATCTATACAATGGGTTACTATGTAACCTTTAAATAGAGCTTTGTTATTATAATACATTGCTCAGAATTTTAAAAACTAAGTTAAAAAAGCAATATATATGTGTATTATGTCGAAGACATGTTTTGGGGGGACAAATTCTAGTTGTGTATGTATAATAGGACCCTATTCATGTGAATGAGAGAGAATATGTACATATACTTATGTAGACATAGAAAATGCATAAATGTATGTTTAACAAAAGGATGGCTGTCATCCCTGAAGAACAGGATGGCAGGAATGGGGGGGTGAGGGGGGGAAGGAGGGACCTTGAGGAAGAAGAGGTAGATTTCCTTTTTTACTTTTTATTATTTTATTAACTGGATTTATCATTGTAATAATTGACTAATAATATTTCAACATACTGAGAACACTTGCATTGTTACAGCTTTTTATGCAGATTGAAGCTCTCTTTCCACAAAAATTTGGAACATGGACTGAATATGCCAAAAGATACTGTAACGCACATGTCAGGTAAGACAAGCTATTTTCAATAAGCTTTAATCCTCACATATTTACTGTGCACATGCAGCTTGATTAGTCACTCCTTGTTCCAGTGTTTTTCAAACTTGTGGAATAATTTCTTCAAGTAAAATCTTATGTATGTGATGACCTATGTATGAAATTAAAAAAAGGAGTAGATAATGGCAATTTTTCTTCATTTTTAACCTTCCACTTACTTTATTTTTGGAATTTTTTTTTTTTTTTTTTGTATTGACTTGCTGAGCATGTACATTATGGGAAAGTGACAGACAGCCATTTCCCTTTGTAGGTAACCAGTGTTGGCAGTTTCTTGTGTATTCTTCTGGAGGCACTCTATACATGAAAAAGCACACATGATTATATATATATACACACACAATAATAGTTCATTTTATTTCTACATATACAGTAGTATAATCTACATACTGTTCTGCAGTTTTCTGCCTTCATCTCTGATTCTTCCAATCAGTTACTGAAAGAGCTTTGGCATTCTTTTTAAATATTGCTTGTGTTCCACTGTTTGGATGCACTATATTTTATTTAACTAGCCGTCTGCTGATCGGCATTTGTTTGTGATAGATAGCTGTTGCATATAGTGCAGCAATGAATAACTTGCACATGGTCAGAGGCAGTGTAGTGGCAAAGAGCATGGGAGACTAGGGGAGATCAGCAGTGTTTTATTTTCACATCCAGTGTTTACCAGATATTTCATGTTAGGAAAATACCTTTACCTCCCTATACCTTAGTTTCTTCAGGTCTAAAAACAGAGAATGATATTTCTGCCTCAGAATTATTATGAAACTGACATGAGCTAATATTTATAAAGGGCTTGAACAGTGACTGGCACATAGTGAGAACTCAATAATTATTAGCTATTTTAATATTTCATGTCACACACAGGAATAAATCTGGAAGACAAATTTATACAAGTGGAGTTGCTGGTAAAAAGGCCATGTACATTTTTATATTTTATATATTTTTTGACAAATTATGCTCCACACAAGTTATACCAATTGATATTCCCACCAGCAGGAAGATTGTCTCCCCACACTTTGCCAACATGTTCTAATATAAAATGTTTTATCTTCTTAATGTGATCTGAGAGTAGTTTTAATGCATATTTGTTTTCTTATGTTATTAAATGTAGTCAAGATTTTTTTATACATGTAAAAGTCATTTGTGCTCTTTTTCAGTTAATTGTTTATGTTCTTTGCCCTTCATTCTACTAAATTTATTGGCTTTTTTTCATGTCGATATACTGTAAATCTTTGCATAATATAAAAATCAGCTCTTTGTGATATGAGTTCCTCAGACAAGATAGTACAACAAAAAAGAAAACAAGGACCTTTTCTACCAAAGACTGTAAATGTAGAAATCTTCAATATTAGTATAATCCAGAAACTAATTAAAAGGCCCAATATACTAACCATATGCAAATGGAATTTTTATAAGGAATGTAAGCATAGTTTAATATTAGGAAAAGTGTTAATGTAATTTAGCATGCTAACAACTCAGGGAAAAACTTTATCTTCTCCATATATGCTGAGAAGTAATTTGATGGAATTCAGCATCCATTCTTGATTACATATAGTCTTTAATAATAAATTTAAGGTGTATATATGTGTGAGTGTAATTATAACTGTATATACATATACTAGAGGCCCACTGCATGAAAATTCATGCACTGGAGGGGGTCCCTCAGCCTGGCCTGCCCCCTCTCACAGTCCGGGAGCCCTCAGGGGCGGGAGGCGACCCAGCGATCAGGAGAAGGTGTCACCCCATCACACCTCTGGTGCTGCCACTGCCGGCAGCACAAGCCTCGGCTGGCCCTGGGTGGCTGGGGGCTGAGGGGACTGAGCGCCACCATCTTGTGGCTTTGGGTGCCGCCATCTTTGAGGGTGGGACAGTCAATTAGCATATTCCCTCCTTATTGGCTGTGGGTGCCGCTATCTTTGAGGGCAGGACGGTCAATTAGCATATTCCCTCCTTATTGGCTGTAGGTGCTGCCATCTTTGAGGGTGGGGCAGTCAATTAGCATATTCCCTCTTTATTAGATAGGGTGTGATATATATGTTTATGTATATGTGTGCGTGTATGTTTTTAAGCCCAATGCCACATCACATGAAACACTAAAATAAAGGCAAGGATGTTCACTGTGACCACAATTTACCTTTATTTTAGAGGTACTATCAGTTGTTTCTCAAAAGAAAAATAATAGGTAAATACTGGAAAGAAAAGCAAAATTATCACTATTTGCCACTGATATTATTCATTTGCAAGACCTGAAAGGATCAGCTGAAAAATGTTCAAAACAAAAAAGAATTCATTAAGGTGTCCTAGCACAAAGTTGCTGTTAAAAATTCAGTCTTTCTCTACATAAATAATAAATAGTTTTAAGATACAATGCCAAATAGGCATGATACCAGATATTGTTGGCAAGCACTTACTCACATTTCCTGCAGACTATAAATGTCAAAGTTTGCCTACATAAGCAAACACTAACTGGATTAGGACTTGTCATAAACAGCAGAAGTATATGCCTGTTCCTTTCTTGGTTATTAATACCAAAGTTGTTTCAAAGAAAAGATTATCTTTATGAAGTGCTTTATGATGGGGAGATTGTGGGCTATTTCCTGTTTACTAGAGAGAGCCATTTCAAGATTATTATTGTGCTTCTCAAATGGCATTTTCTTCCAGATTCCATTTCAAAAGTTTTATATTATTCCTTTACTTCTTTACTTTGAAAGTACTATGACTTCATAGACTCTGATTCAAATCAAGTCACTTCCTGGCATTCTAAGTTAGTCTGTGGATTGTTAATTTTCCCCCATAATGTTTTGATTCTATGAAGGTGTCATTTTCACACTATAATTTTGCAGAAAGCAAAATTAGTTATTCAGTTCTAGACTCATTTCATATTTGAAATGTCACGACCATATTCAAAATAAAGTTAAGTGAAGCTTGGGCAAAAATATAACTTTGCCATTATAAAGTTTATTAAAAAAAATAAGTGATAACAAACAAATATGCTAATGTGAATGTGGTTTGGAGAAGTCTAGGTATAGGTAACCACCTTTGATTTGAGAGGCACAGAGAGTATTATTTAACCAGAACATCCCGTACCCAAAAATCCCTTACATCATTCACTCTCCTAGGTTATATTTAGAGGAAGCTATAAATACAAATATGACTTGGAAAAGGCAGCACATTCAGTTGTCAGCCATTAGCACTTAGATCACCCAGCCCCCTGTCATTTTGCAGACATCTGCTGAGCTTAATGGCTTGCCCTGGATCTGACTTCCTCTTACTTTTTCACTGAGAAAGTAAGAAAGTCTTAGGGAATGGTAACTTCAATAAATGTCCTTTTACATAGAAAGAGAGGTCACATAGATAATCCAGCCAAGCACCCTGTTATCAGCAGTCACCTTCTAAAGCCACACTGTGGGAGGACATACTTGCCTTCCCTGATGTCATGCTTTAAGGTTAAGAATATCCCAGAATATCTTTATAGCCATTTATCAAATTTTCCTAAACTTTCTTTTTTAAAAAAAAAAATATATTTTATTGATTTTTTACAGAGAGGAAGGGAGAGAGATAGAGAGTTAGAAACATCGATGAGAGAGAAACATTGATCAGCTGCCTCCTGCCCACCCCCTACTGGGTATGTGCCCGCAACCCAGGTACATGCCCTTGACCAGAATCGAACCTGGGATCCTTGAGTCCGCAGGCCGACGCTCTATCCACTGAGCCAAACCGGTCATGGCTAAACTTTCTTTATCACTGTTATTTTGTGCTGGATTCACCTCATAGGAGAAATAGTTGTTTAAATTTTTATGAGAGGGAAAATTCTGGGTAGTAATACATATTAAATATATTTATAGCCTTTCCCCAAAAGTGTTAATTAATAGGTCATTGTCAGCTTCAAGAAATGTCTCTTATGAAATTGCACAGTTCTTTGTCCTCAGCACTGTCACATTTAATTCTCATCCATGGCTAAATAGAGGTCAGGTCTATTCCATTTGCAAATGGTTCAAATCTGGGAGAAATAGTTAATATCCTACATGGCAGAGAAAAGTTTGAAAAATAATTAGATAAAAATTAATAGCATAAATTCTGCACTTATGCTTAGAAAAGTCTATTTTGTGTGGAAGGGATTTGAGAAATTCCCACCTATTATTAGTAGTTCAGTTCAAAAAGATTTATGGTTTTGAATAACCCTCCACTAAATGGAAGTCAACTGTCTGTCATAACTGATAAAAATAAAGTAATATTAAGACACATTAATTAAAGAAACAGAGTAAGGCCTGGCTCTACTCCACTCATTGATTAGAGTGCATCTGGATTATGGTTTAATTTTTAATTAATCCATTCATCCAAAAAATATTTATAGGTTATCTGTTATATACGATGCCATATGCTGGGCATCAAATATGCATTCAGTAACAAGACTCGATGGTCCTAACCTTCACTGAGTTTTTAATTCAGGTAACTAGGAAATTATAGTTGTGATGAGTCATAAAAGGGAAGTAAAGGATGTTATGGCCGAGTTTAGCAGAGGGAACTGATCAAGTACAAAGGACAGAAGGAAGCATCTTGCCAGTGGTAGATCCCTGTTTGCATTCCGGGAAGATGCCTTGAGGAACTAAAAGAAATCTGGTTCAGTTGAATACTCTTGAGCTGATGGTGTCTTGGTCAGAGCCTTGTCCTTGATCATAATAGCAGTAAGAAGCATTGGGGAGTGTTTTGTTTTGTGTTTTAATTTTCAGTATTGTGGAGCTTTTAATTGTAATAAAATATGCCTAAGAAAATTTACCGTTTTAACTATTTTTAAGTGTAGAGTTCAGTGACATTAAGTACATTTACGTTATTGTGCGAACACCACCATCTCCAGAACTCTTTCATCATCCCAAACTGAAACTCTGTGCCCATGAAATAATAACTCTTTAGCTACCCCCACCTAGCCCATGCATTGTGGGATTTTAAAGCACGAA